GTGACGGTATACTCAGTCTCTCCCAAATAGCTAGGGTTGGGGTGTATGTATCACCCCAACTCTTGAATATTATTTTAAATAATTGTTCGCCCGGCCCCATATACTGAAAACTGTTCACTGCTATTGCATATATTTGTAATATTGTACCTGCCTCATGTATATGCTGGAAAATGTATACTTCGCTTCTCGCAAACTAGCATCGTATATTGAATCTTCGGGTATGCGTCAGTTTTACATCTCTTTTTTTTTAATTTTAATAGATAGTGATTCAAAAGGAAGGTTTTTAAGTATGATACATTGTACCTGTTCGAAGCAGAGGCGGGTCGCTAGTTTATTTATAAGTAACAGATTATAGAGAAGATTTGAAGACTGGCTCATCTGTTCCTGCGTTTTCTCTATTCCAGGTGTCGATCCCGTCGCAGCCGGAGCGCACGGAGTGGCGTCTGGACGGGCGGCCCATCCAGGTCAACCTGCCGCTGTCCACCACCGTCGCCGAGCTGAAGGCGCTACTCCAGCGGTCCACGCTCATGCCCACCGCCAAGCAGAAGCTGCACTACGAGGTATGTCATAATCAAAATCTATATTAGTATGCAGGTAGGCCTTTTTCAATGCCCTCTTACACGTCCCAAATATAGCTTGCCCTACCACTACTTCGGGTACACATAGCTCGTGGAGACGATGGCCGTTGGGGCAGGAAAGTTCTCGAGTGGCGACCACGGGCTAGAAGACGTAGCGTGGGCAGGCCTCCTACCAGGTTGACCGACGATCTGGTAAAGGTCGCGGGAAGAGCCTGGATGCGGGCAGCACAGGACCGTTCATTATGGAAAACCTTGGGGGAGGCCTTTATCCAGCAGTGGACGTCATTTGGGAACCACTACTTCGGGACAACATATTGGCTGGTGCTGAGAAAAAGTGGCGGAAGAAAGTCACTAATGTCCATGGGAGACGGCATATGGTGGTATGTCTGGAAGGGCCCATCCAGGTCAACCTGCCGCTGTCCACCACCGTCGCCGAGCTTAAGGCACTACTCCAGCGGTCTACCATTATGCCCACCGCCAAGCAGAAGCTGCACTACGAGGTATGTGTCGACGGGAGACTAAAGCCCGGTCTGTGAGCACGTAGTTTTGTTCAATGACCCCAAGCTACCCATCCTTATCGCTCGCGCGTAATTATATTGCTGTCGCGACTGTGCGACGGGCGCCCGCAGTGAGTGTGCGAACACGACAGACAGACTAACCAGACTATAGTAATGTGCTAGCTTATTGATTAGCATGGCATATAGTGCTGGACTAGCACCTTCTGTGAAACCGGGCTAGAATGCGCGCCATGATAAAATTTTATCGACGAATTAGACGACAAATGTATGGGCTTATCGTGCAAAATCGATAAAAGTTTGTCGTGGCGTGCATCTTAGCCAACTTGCTGCTGTCCACCACCGTCGCCGAGCTGAAGGCGCTACTCCAGCGGTCTACCCTCATGCCCACCGCCAAGCAGAAGCTGCTCTACGAGGTATGTGTCGACGGGAGACTAAACACTCACTCACTGCGGGCGCCCGTCGCACAGTCGCGACAGCAATATAATTACGCGCGAGCGATAAGGATGGGTAGCTTGGGGTCATTGGACAAAATTCTACGTGCTCACAGACCAGACTATAGTAACGTGCTGGACTAGCAGCAGCTTCTGTGCAACCGGGCTAGGATGCGCGCCATGATACAATTTTATCGACGGTTTAGACGACAAATGTATGGGCTTATCGTGCAAAATCGACAAAAGTTTATCGTAGCGTGAATCTTATCACCGTGGCCGAGCTCAAGGCGCTGTTGCAGCGGTCCACACTCATGCCCACCGCCAAGCAGAAGCTGCACTACGAGGTACGTGTCGACGGGAGACTATAGTCTGGTCCGTGAGCACGTAGAATTGTGTCCAATGACCCCAAGCTACCCATCCTTATCGCTCGCGCGTAATTATATTGCTGTCGCGACTGTGCGACGGGCGCCCGCAGTGAGTGTGCGAACACGACAGACGGACTGACCAGACTATAGTAATGTGCTAGCTTATTGATTAGCATGGCATATAGTGCTGGACTAGTAGCTTCTGTGCAACCGGGCTAGGATAGGCGCCATGATACAATTTTATCGACGGTTTAGACGACAAATGTATGGGCGTATCGTGCTAAATCTATAAAAGTTTATCGTGGCGTGCATCTTATCGCCGTGACCGAGCTCAAGACGCTACTCCAGCGCGTAGAGCGCTGCCTAACGCCAAGCAGAAGCTGCACTACGAGGTATGTGTCGACGGGAGACTTATGCTGCTAGTTCATAGGCATACAAACTAAACCCAATTTTTAGAAGAATACGTGACCAAATAAATCTATACACGTACCCAATTTCAATTCCTAAGCTGAGATTCATAATAGTAGGGGAGAGTTCGGTATATTGTACCGCCNTTAAGGCGCTACTCCAGCGGTCCACCCTCATGCCCACCGCCAAGCAGAAGCTGCACTACGAGGTATGCGTCGACAGAAGAATATGTTAGCTAAGTACCTAATTTATGTTACCTGAACTGAGTTCCCTAAGCTCAGGAGCATAAGGCGACCGAGGCGAGGTAAAGGAGCGATTCTATTGGTTCTTTACAAACACATCCCTCGCTACAATTCAATTTATTTATTTAAAGATAACAATGATCCACATGGTTAGTAAATGCGTGCCTTATACAACTATGTTAGTAATTAATTATTTATTGCTACGCATCCCTCGCACATCTCTGGTGAAAACAGACTTATTATAGTACTAAAAAAATTATAACTATTTATCCTAGTGGAATCCAAAGGTTAACTTGGTTTATCTAGTAATCTAGTTGATGCGGTCGCTACTAAAATGCTCTGGCGATGACGTCACGTACTAGTCACTTATAATGCCTTCAATGAGGACTGTCGTTTTAGCACTCACCAATGAGGGTTTTCGCGATTGAAAAATCCGCCAGATGGCAATACGTAGACGCGAGGTCCAAATGCTGCGTGATTGGTGGATTCTGACATATCTGTCAATGTCATGTCAAAAATAACCAATCATGCAGCAGCAGAACCTCGCGTCTACGTATTGCCATCTGGCGGATTTTTCAATCGCGAAAACCCTCATTGGCAATACTATGGAGTAAGGCCCTGTTACTTGCTAGTGGCTAAGACAGTGACGCCAACTGGCGAGCGCTGAAGCGGTAAGAGGACTATCGCACTTACACTCACCAAGATGGCGCCACTGTGGACTAAGGGTCAGTCACTCGCCAGTGCTGCCAAATTATAAGTATAAAAACGGTAACACTCATTTTGAATCTTATTTCTTGCTCCGCAGGGTCTATTCTTCAAGGACTCCAACACGCTGGCGTACTACAACGTGCCTCCAGGCGCTTTACTGCATCTGCAGGTGAAGGAACGCGGAGGAAGGAAGAAGTAAACGCAAACTGGGTTAGAATTCTTTGTCACTTTGTATTTAACGCAATAAGGATGATCCCAATAAACGATATATTGTGAAGTACATTGTAGTTATTACTCGTGTAAAGAGGTAGCACATTAGACTATGTATTTTTTATTGTAGAAATATTTTCTAATAAAATTTCCCAATGTTTAGATTGATGTACCATCCTCAAATATTTGTTTACGGACATCACATCGTAAAGGTTTCAACATGATAATATCCAGTAAAGAAAACCAAAAGATTTTTTAGTAAACATTTAATAAAAACGTGTAAAATGTATAACAAAATGCATGTAGCACATTAGTTGTGTGTAAAAATATATAAACTTTCAGCTAGGGAATGTATGTGATGTATATTGCACATAGATCGAAGCACCATCTAGAAAACCTATTAAGTCCCTGGTATATTAAAAACTCTCAATATAAATTATTATATATTAAAACAATCTCTTATCTTTGCTTTTAAATCACAAAATATCAGATTCATTGACAAAAATATCAACACATGATTATATTAAGTCTAAGGCACAGTAAAGCTTATCAAATGGAATGTTAACAATTATTATTTAGCTATCTTTCAGAGTACTAACTATCTAAATACAAAAAAGCATATACCTACGTCTTTCATGCTAAGATTGAACGAATGTAACATTTTATCTTTCGATTGTTCATTCGTTCGACCTGTTTGAAATTAAATAATTATTATGATAATTTCACTGTAAGCTTAGGCGTGAAACGATTGTCTACTAACGCCAGCGTGAGATAAACTATTTCCGATTAAAAATATCGTAATTAATGAGAATTGCGACTAATAAATGGGTCTACTTTGCAAATCGACATCGTGACTCTCGTATCAAACCCTACTCTAGCGAATGACGACTATCGGTTGAACAGAGAAACGAAACGTTTTACAAAGTGGGACAGTACCCAGCCATATGTTATTAGTTGTGACGTCACTTTACATCCACTGCCGCAGCGACACAAATCACTGGGATGGTCTCTATGAGCTAGCGATGGATGAACAGTGATTGTCAAATTGAAAGCGACTTAAATGATGAATGAACAATTGGGTAGGAGACACCAATAAATCAATTACTCTATCATCGTCTTTAGGAATCTCGTTTGGACGGTTTGTAAGGACGCCAATGACTAGTTGGCAACCCTGGCGAATGAGGTCCTGTCATTTGCCAGTGCCAACTGGTCTACGGTAGTATAACTTGACCACTAGAGCTATGCCGCTCTGGGCTGACTTTCTGGAGCTTTTATTTCATGGTCGTTTGACGTTACATTCGCGGGATTCTTAACAAGTAATTTTATCTTTGCTAGATGTCCACTTAATTACGAAGCGAAGCGTGCTCTCTGCGATCCACATTTGATTGCACACTACTGGGTCCACATTGTTCTTGTTGCTCGAATTGTAAGACCTAAATGCTAATCTAGTGAAGCAATAAAGTATTGAGTACTAAACACAAGAGCGGCACAGCTTGTGGTTAAGCTATAACGATATCAACTACCCAAATAGCGGGTCAGCTCAGTCGCCGAGCTTGGGAATCTCAGCCAGTATCTGTCGGTAGCGCGCGAGCAGCGGCGTGTAGATGGCGTCGTGGTCGGCGTAGGGCGTGGCCGCGGGAGACACTGACAGTTCTGAGCCTGGAAGCAATGGATAATAACTTAGTTTTGGTGGCTACCGATAGATGGCGTTAGTTGAAAAAGATGGGGTGGTTGGATTTGACCAACTTAGCTAGCACATTTGAAACGTTGACGTTCCTGCTAAATTAAATAATTTACTGTAAACGGTAGCAAGAAGGATGCAGGCCGCTATCATACGGCCTTTGTGGAAATCATTGGGGGAGGCCTATGTTCAGCAATGGACCTCATATGGCTGAAATTATGATGATAATTTCTAGGGGGATACTCATCTCGCTCGTCCAATACGACTAAACGGGTTGATACAATTACAAGCTAGGTGATCAATATCTTTGTTCAGCATACGCTCTCTGGTAGTTACATAGAAGCGTTTAATCATAGTAAGTCTAGTTACCGGGCAGTTTAGTGCCGGTACGCGTGCTCCACACGTCAGCGGCACGAATGGCGGCTCCCAGCAGAGCTGCGTTCGCGTGGTGATCCTGTAAAAAAATTACAAGTTTAGTAACCATCTTCAGTCGTGTATTCACTTGCAAGTTCCTTCGCCTGAACCTAGTAAGGTATTTTGATAAATAATAAGTAAACAAAAATATTGGATGTTCGTGTCACTGCGGGTAAATAAAGAGGGATTATGAGGGGTAAAATTAGATTATAAAATAAAAAATAGTATTTAAAGCAATAAACATTTCGTATTTTAATTATTAATTAACGGTCGTTACAACATAGCAAAAGCTGGTTTGACATAATTTAAAAAGACCGGTGGTGGGGCGGCGTCGGAGTGGCGGCGTGACAGTTTGAGATCGAGTCAGTTGGTCGTCGGTTCTGCTACGAGTAACATCGCTTCTAAAATAAGTGTTAGTTGATCGTCAGTTCTTCAGTTAAAAGTGTGTGTGTACATGAACTTGGCTCACCTGAACATAAACGGGGGTGTTGAAGACATCAGCGAAGATTTGAAGGAGTTCCTTGTTGACGGACGCGCCTCCCGTCGCCACCAGCCGCGACGAAGAGTCTGAAAGCAAGAATTTTTGGAACTTCGTGGAACAATAACAAACGTAAGTAAGTACTAAAGATTTTATAAGAGAGTGTAGCTAGTTTTCATACTATTTCTAGAAGCGCAACATGTCGCATTTCCTCAACGTGCACGCGGCGCGCTAATGCCTAATTGCCTATCCTAGCAGTTTGCGCAACTCAAATTGATCAGCGACCGTGTTTCGACGTTTAATTGAATGAATAACGCTGACTGAAGAAATAATTCGTATATTTTGATTACTTTTCAGATTAATTTACAACCGTTGTTCGTACGTGTTTTCTTGCTGGTAATCGAGTGAAGTTGACGCGGGCCGCTCCCGCGCTCCCNACCCGCGCCGCGCGTGCGCACATCACGCTCGAGGACCAGATCCAGCAGATACACAAGGTTAGATGCGGATATATGCTAAGGTTAGATTCGGATATATGCTAAGGTTAGATGCGGATATGTGCTAAGGACATCGGCGAGGAGAAGCGGCGCGACGANCGTGTAAAACAATATCGATAGTCTATGTTATTAACTACTGTTCCTTTTCGTTTCCTAATTTGTTAAGAATGTATCGTATAATATTTTGCCATAGTTTTTTTATAGGCTTGAAATTTATTGAAATCCAATTTAGTAACCCTGTGGTACAAATTATCGAACCGGTTGGCTAAATTGGACCGAAGCTCTGAGCTCGTATTTTGCTGATTTGTGCTAAATATACAACAAACATGTTAATTAATACTTATGAAATAGTAAGTTGAATAATTTATCTTTTATTATATACCACGGACATTAGCAAAAACAAAAGAAAACTATGTGTAAAATGGAATTGAAAAAAACTGGTCCAAATTAGCGGACTCTCCCTTATGTACTAAAAACTTTATAATTATTTATCCTAGTCGAATCCGAAGGTTACTTTCTTTATGTCGTTCACACGGTCGCTACTAAACTGCTCTGACGATGACGTCACGTACATCTAGTCACTTGCATTGAGGACTGTCGTTTTAGCACTCACTAATTGCCGCTACTGTAGAGTAGACAGTTACGCTAACTGGTGAGGCGTTGAAGCAATTGCACTCACCAAGATGGCGCCACGGTAGAGTAAGATTCAGTCAGTCGCCAGTGCTGCCAACTGTTTAATATAAAAACAGCATTGTGAACCTTATTTCCTTTTCCGCAGGGTCTATTCTTCAAGGACTCCAACACGCTGGCGTACTACAACGTGCCTCCAGGCGCTTTACTGCATCTGCAGGTGAAGGAGCGCGGAGGAAGGAAGAAGTAAACGCAAACTGGGTTAGAATTCTTTGTCACTTTGTATTTAACGCAATAAGTATGATCCCAATAAACGATATATTGTGAAGTACATTGTAGTTATTACTCGTGTAAAGAGGTAGCACATTAGACTATGTATTTTTTATTATAGAAATATTTTCTATAATAAAATGTTCCAATGTTTAGATTGATGTACCATCCTCAAATATTTGTTTACGGACATCACATATCGTAAAAGTTTCAACATGATAATATCCAGTAAAGAAAACCAAAACATTTTTTTAGTAAACATTTAATAAAAACGTGTAAAATGTATAACAAAATGCATGTAGCACATTAGTTGTGTGTAAAAATATATAAACTTTCAGCTAGGGAATGTATGTGATGTATATTGCACATAGATCGAAGCACCATCTAGAAAACCTATTAAGTCCCTGGTATATTAAAAACTCTTAATATAAATTATTATATATTAAAACAATCTCTTATCTTTGCTTTTAAATCACAAAATATCAGATTCATTGACAAAAATATCAGCACATGATTATATTAAGTCTAAGGCACAGTAAAGCTTATCAAATGGAATGTTAATAATTATTATTTAGCTATCTTTCAGAGTATTAACTATCTAAATACAAAAAAGCATATACCTACGTATTTCATGTTAACTTGGATTGAACGAATGTAACATTTTGTCTATCGATTGTTCATTCGTTCGACCTGTAATTTCAAATTAAATAATTATTATGATAATTTCACTGTAAGCTTAGGCGTGAAACGATTGTCATCTAACGCCAGCGTGAGATAACTATTCAAATTAAAAATATCGTAATTAATGAAAATTGCGACTAATAAGTGGGTCTACTTTGCAAATCGACATCGTGACTCTCGTATCAAACCCTACTCTAGCGAATGACGACTATCGGTTGAACAGAGAAACGAAACGTTTTACAAAGTGGCATAGTACCCAGTTATATGTTAGTAGTTGTGACGTCACTTTACATCCACTGCCGCAGCGACACAAATCACTGGGATTGTCTCTATGAGCCAGCGATGGATGAACAGTGATTGTCAAATTGAAAGCTACTTAAATGACGAATGAACTGGGTAGGAGACACCAATAAATCAATTACTCTATCATCGTCATTTATGAATCTCGGTTGGACGGTTTGTAAGGACGTCAATGAAGGCTATCGCATTTACTCACTAGTTGGCAACCCTGGCGAATGCGCGAATGCAGTCCTGCCATATGCCAGTGCCAACTGGTGAGCGCTACTACGGTCTACGGTTAGCTTGACCATTAGAGCTATGCCGCTCTGGGCTGACTTTCTGGAGTTTTTATTTCGTGTTACATACGCGGGATATTGATTCTTTGCTAGATGTCCACGGCTAAATTATGAAACGAAGCGTGCTCTCTGCAATACGCATTTGATCGCGCACTAAATACAAGAGCGGCCCCAGCCATAGCCTAATTCACGTATTTTGACAGTCAAGATCTCGCTGACGTTCACAAGTCGTCCCATTGAAAAACAGTTCTAAATTCGTATTCATAAGGGTCATTTCGATTGAACGATTACTCGATAGGATTGCATTCAGCGATTTGTTGTCGTTGAAGTTTTGTTACGTGAACGAGGCTACTGGTCTTGTGGTCAAGCTATAACGGTGTCAACTACCCAAATAGCGGGTCAGCTCAGTCGCCGAGCTTGGGTATCTCAGCCACTAATTGTCGGTAGCGCGCGAGCAGCGGCGTGTAGATGGCGTCGTGGTCGGCGTAGGGCGTGGCCGCGGGAGACACTGACAGTTCCGAGCCTGGAAGCAATCGAGTATAACTTAGTTTTGGTGGTTACCGATAGATGGCGTTAGTTGAAAAAGATGGGGTGGTTGGATTTGACCATCCTCGCACATTTAGCCTTTTAGTTAGCCGATAGTTGGGCCCGATTCCAATTTGAATGAAGAATCGGTGTCATGTGCGTACTTTCATACGTCTCCATACTGATTAACCCGACCCAACTATCGGCCAACTAAAAGTCGGTGGTCTGCGACTAAGCTAAAACGTTCACGTTCCTGCTAAAAATAAATTACATGTAAAATAACAGTGCCCTACAAATCTAGGGGGGATGCTCCTCTCGCTCGTCCAATGAATACGACTAAACGAATGATTGGTGAGCAATATCTCCAATATTCAGCACACTCTCTGATAGTTACATAGAAGCGTTTAATCATAAGTAAGGGCTATTTACCGGGCAGTTTGGTGCCGGTGCGCGTGCTCCACACGTCAGCCGCACGGATGGCCGCTCCCAGCAGAGCTGCGTTCGCGTGGTGATCCTGTAAAAAAATTACAAGTTTAGTAACCATCTTCAGTCGTGTATTCACTTGCAAGTTCCTTCGCCTAAACCTAGCAGACGTAAGGTATTTTACCCCACCGCGTAAGGTATGATAAAAAACATTGGGTGTTCGTGTCAGTCACTGCGGGTAAAAAAAGAGGGATTATGAGGGGTAAAATTAGATCATAAAATTATATTATTTAAATAAATAAAAAATTCGTATTTTAATTCATAAATTAACGTCGTTACAACATAGCAAAAGCTGGTTTGACATGGTTTAAAAAGACCGGTGGTGGGGCGGCGTCGATGTGGGGGCGTGACAGTTTGAGATCGAGTCAGTTGGTCGTCGGTTCTGCTACGAGTAACATTTCTTCTAAAATAAGTGCTAGTTGATAAAAGTGTGTAGAGACCAAGTCAGTTCTGCTACGAGTAAATATGTTAGTGTTACCGCGAGTTTACATCGAAAACAAAACACGCACGATGGCCCACCTACAGGATACTATTCGACAAGGCCTCACATACGAGCGAACATTGACTCACGCACGCGTATTCTTGTGTATGATGGAAGAAGATAAAGAAAATGGTGTACTAAATACTGTGCAGTATTTAACTGCCTAAATAATAATAAAAACACAGAATGTACTTTTTTAAGTTGCCTCAAGACACTGAGAGGTAAATAAGTAGTTAATATTATTCATGATAATTCATGCTAAATCATGTATTTCCTCCGCCATTTTCCGCAGTTTGGCACCTCACGTCACATCATTTTACCGAAGTCAGCCCTATAGCTTCGGCGCAGTACCGATCACTGACGTTTGTCAACAAAATGGTGCTTGACTCTTGAGACAGACTAAATTACACCATATTGTTAATGACATTGAGCATACATTTTTTTAAATACTTTCGCGGAGTAAAACTTCTGTACGTAGTACTTATTATTATTCTGTGGTGTTACTCTAAAATAGTGTTACTTGATAGTGTGTGAGTATGTGACGTGTGTACATGAACTTGGCTCACCTGAACATAAACGGGCGTGTTGAAGACATCAGCGAAGATTTGAAGGAGTTCCTTGTTGACGGACGCGCCGCCTGTCGCCACCAGCCGCGACGAAGAGTCTGAAAGCAAGAATTTTTGGAAATACGTGGAACAATAACAAACGTAAGTAAGTACTAAAGATTTTTATAAGAGAGTGTCGCATGTCGCACTTCCTCAACGGGCACGCGGCGCGCTAGTGCCTATCCTTCTAGCAGTTGCGGTGATCATACTGAGTGGGCTCACAGATGATTACGACCCGCTCATCATGGCGATTGAGCACTCATCTTCCAAGCTAAGTACGGAAGCCATCTCGACTAAATTACTTCAGGAAACCCAAAGACGGGAAGAGAAAGCTGAAGAAACGGCACTGATTACACAGAAGAACCCAAAGAAGAACCCAAGCACACAGAGACTACATGGTAGCAGAGCGTAGTTACAAAAAGTGCTTCGGGTGTGGTGCCAGAGGACATATGCTGCGGAACTGTCCAAAAAGGAGTTCAACGTCCAAAGAACAGACCTCCGGGGACGAGCCAAAGAGTCAGAAACAGCAGAAGAAGCCATGGAAGAAGAACAAGGCTAATCTGTCGGCACTCTCCGTGAAGGTGAAAAGTGACGTGTGGTACATAGACTCTGGGGCCACAAACCACATGTGTAATAGTGAAAAAGTGATGGTGAAGTGCGATCGTAATAAGGTTTTTAAAGTGAGCATTGCAAACGGTGAAATGCTATCGACCGCGGGCTTAGGTGAAGTTCAGGTTCGTTTAAAAGACTGTGTAAGGACACTAAGTGAAACTTATTACGTACCTAACTTAAGTACTAATTTATTATCTGTCAGTGCTTTGACAAAAAAGGGTTATGTTGTCAAATTTGACAGAAATTCTTGTATTATTTACAATGGTGATGAAATTCTAGCTACTGGTACTCAAATTAACGGTGTTTATCAACTCGACACGGTGTCAGACAACGCCAGTACTGTGGAACAGGAGTGTACCATAGTGGCGTCGCCAGCAGTAGACACGACATCCCATGATTTGTGGCATTTGAAGGGTACTAGTAATTTTGCTCTTGTGTTTTCTAGGTCGGGCATGGATATTTCAGCTTATGCTGATGCTGACTGGGCGTCAGACAACATGGACCGCAAGTCATACACAGGCTTTGTGTTTACTATTGGTAAGTCAGTCGTTACTTGGGAGAGTCGCAAGCAACGTACTGTTGCCTTGTCCAGTACTGAGGCGGAGTACATGGCGTTGTCTGACACATGTAAGGAAGCTCTATTTATTAGAAAGTTTATATGTGAGATTTTTGGTACCATGCCTAGAATAACAATTTACAATGACAATCAATCTGCTATAAAACTATGTAAAAACTATATGTTTCATTCTAGAACTAAGCATATTGATATTCGTCATCATTTTATTAAAGAAATTGTAAACAAAGGAATAGTTGAAATTAAATATTTGTCAACTGTTGTTATGTTAGCTGATGTGTTAACTAAAGCACTATGTAAAGAGAAACACAATAAGTTTGTGTGTCAATTGCTAACTGTAATTTAAGTTACTTAATGCTAACAATTGAATTAAAGCTAATTGTAACTTAAGTTTTTTAAAATGTTAACTTTGTATTTGTGTTGTGTTTCTTTAGTGTTAAGTGTTTTATAAATGTATTTATTGTAAGTTTAGCTTGCGTTTAAGGGCCAGTGTTGGAAAGTTAGAAACTTTTTGGTTAAACGCAAGCATATTTGAATATTTGAATTTGGCACTCCGCTGTCAATGTAAGGTTTCCATACTTCTGGATCAATCACTCGATCTCATGTAGTCTCTGTGTGCTGTATGTTCTAAAATAAATCCGTGGTAATCTTCGTGGTCTTTTCCTTCTTACGCTCCAACTCAAATTGATCAGCGGCCGTTATTGAATGCCCACCAGCCAAGGGAGCAGTTATGTGGGGCTCAATCTGCCAAAAGGGTAGAGGTACCCGCTGAAATCCGATTGGTTATTCAAAACGTCTCCTTTCGTTTCCTCTCCTCTACGTTTTGGTGGATACCATGCTTGTTATTTCTCACTCACCCAGCGTGAATCCCATATCTTCAGCGTGCGCGCGGCGCGCTAAAGCCTGTCCCTCTAGTAGCGCGCGCGCTTCAAACTGCGGCGCTAAGCGGTCAATAGCGCGCCCGTTCGCGTCCCGAAGCCAGCGGCCCGGCGCCGCCCGTGGGACTATTTCCGCGGTGTCAAAGTAAACGCCTGAAGGACAAAAAAACACCAAGTCGAAAATTAAATCTTTGAGTGAAGTTACTGAACTTTTAAGGCTCGAAATCTGAGAGAAGACTAATGATGATACAAATAGGCTTTGCGTCAGACTCTGTTCGAGAGCTTAAAAGGCTCAGGAGCCAGCAATCTACCAATACTACGCCTATCCTATGAGGTTAAATTTAAATTCCTTTGAATGCTCTTTTAGTCGCGCTAATGCTATCTATCCACACTACTATCCAAGTTTGACATCATTATCATTGAAGGCATCCCAGCTAGGCCTGGCTAATCTCACGGTGATTATGCCTTATTAGTGAGCCGTTGGCGAAACACAGTAGGGCCAGGTAGGGTGCATCATTAGTGGGCCCCACGAGGACGTGCCCCACGGGAGTCGCACGCAAATATTCCTTTAGCTGCTGAGTTATAACTCATCCATATATCCCATGTTGCCTCTAACAGTCGCCTTTAGTAAGTCATTAAACGCATCCCAGCTAGGCCCGGCCAGCCTATCGCGGTGGTTCTGCCTCGTCAGCGAGCCGTTAGCGAAGCACAGTAGGGCCATGTAGGGGGCATCGTGCGTGGGCCCCACGAGCACGTGTCCCGTGGGGGACACGACGCAAATATTCCTTTAGCTGCTGAGTTATAACTCAAATATTCCTTTAGCTGCTGAGTTATAACTCACCCATGTATCCCATGTTGCCTCTAACAGTTGCCCGTAGCAAATCATTGAACGCGTCCCAGCTGGGTCCAGCCAAGCGATCGCGGTGGTTCTGCCTCGTCAGCGAGCCATTAGCGAAGCACAGTAGGGCCATGTAGGGGGCATCGTGCGTGGGCCCTACGAGGATGTGTCCCGTAGGAGTCGCACGCAAATATTCCTTTAGCTGCTGAATTACAACTCACCCATATATCCCATGTTGCCTCTAACAGTCGCTCTTAACAAGTCATTGAACGCGTCCCAGCTGGGTCCAGCCAAGCGATCGCGGTGGTTCTGTCTAGTCAGCGAGCCGTTAGCGAAGCACAGTAGGGCCATGTAGGGGGCATCGTGCGTGGGCCCCACGAGGATATTTTGTTGACTCACCCATGTATCCCATGTTGCCTCTAACAGTCGCTCGCAGCAGGTCATTAACGCGTCCCAGCTAGGCCCGGCCAGCCTATCGCGGTGGTTCTGCCTCGTCAGCGAGCCGTTAGCGAAGCACAGTAAGGCCATGCAGGGGGCATCGTGAGTGGGCCCTAATAGGACGTGCCCCGCAAGAAGCGCGGTAATTTCTCTAGCTACTTAATTACAACTCACCCATATATCCCATGTTGCCTCTAACAGTCGCTCTTAACAAGTCATTGAACGCGTCCCAGCTGGGTCCAGCCAAGCGATCGCGGTGGTTCTGTCTAGTCAGCGAGCCGTTAGCGAAGCACAGTAGGGCCATGCAGGGGGCATCGTGAGTGGGCCCTATTAGGACGTGCCCCGCAAGAAGCGCGGTAATTTCTCTAGCTACTTAATTACAACTCACCCATATATCCCATGTTGCCTCTAACAGTCGCTCTTAACAAATCATTGAAGGCGTCCCAGCTGGGTCCAGCCAAGCGATCGCGGTGGTTCTGCCTTGTCAGCGAGCCGTTAGCGAAACACAGTAGGGCCATGTAGGGGGCATCGTGCGTGGGCCCCACGAGGACGTGTCCCGCGGGGGGCGCGGCGGGCGCGGGGAGCCCGAGCAGCAGCGTGTCGCTGGTGCCCAGGCTGAGACCCACCCAGCCGGTGCGGAGGCGGAGACCTGCGAAGTGAGATTATCTCTATTTTCTCTAATGAGGGTTTTCGCGAATGAAAAATCCGCCAGATGGCAATACGTAGACGCGAGGTCCAAATGCTGCATGATTGGTTATTTTTGACATGACATTGACAGATATGTCAAAATCCACCAACCACGCAGCAGTCAGACCCCACATCTACGTCCCGCCATCTAGCGGATCTTTCATTCGCGAAAACCCTCATTACATAGATTTTTGCGTGAATTTAGCAAAGTTAAAAAGTCTGCGTAAATGGGCCACCGCCCACAGACACTGCTTTTTAATATATTTAGACGCGCCGCACACGTATATCCGGTGGCGGCCACTCGCTACAGTAGTGTCCGCGACTCGCCACTATACAAAGTGTGTTAAGTCGCCGTCGCTGGCCACCGGTGGCTGTGGTCGGTGGCCCATTTGCGCCGAGCCTTAATTCCATTACTTACAAGGACTATTAAAAATATTGCATACAAATTTTCAACTCCTATTACGATTATAAGTATGGATTTCCGAAAATGTCTTTTTATCATTATTTACGTTTTTTAATCATTTTAGTCTAGAGCATTTCCTTTAAATTTTCCCACACGAACGAAGTCGTGGTTTTAAAAAAGCTAATTACTAATTTTACTAAAATCACATCTAAGTAGAGATAACATATTATTATAAAACATCTCAGCTATTGTAAACACATACAAGATAAGCGAATCAAACGCTGTCACATTACATCGCCTTAATCTCGTGTGCTGCCAGTTAGATATCTTATCGCGAAATTGTTTTTTGACGACTTGTAAACCTTAGCCCTATTGAGTTATCTGCTAAGATAACTCCCAGATAAATATTTATTTAGATATTTGCGAAGTATATTACTAAGATTGTATGCTTATTTACTTTGCCAATATACATTAACATAGTGGTAACTAACTGTCGGTGTTTTATGGAAATACTTTAGTCTGACGTCCAATCAAGGCACGGTAGCCGATTCTTTGGAAGACTCTTGGGATGTGTAAACCAAATCCTCTATTTGCTTCTGATGAATTAGAGCCATCCTCCTGTGCTGTATATTTGTATAAAAAAAAGTAAGAGCCAAAGCACACGATGCAGAGAGAACATAATGAGACGCAAAGATTTCGCCGCACCGCTCCTGTGCCCGCTACAGATTTCTATGGAAGACGACGCAGCGACACTGCTCCGGCGTCGCACCGCCGCCGCAACGCATCGTATGCTTTACTCTTAGTTTATACCCGTTTCTTTGGGGCTACATGGCAGTGTAAACAGTCCAAAGATATTATTATTACCTGCTAACGCAGAGCAGTTGTCTCCAGTGAAAGCCACCACGCGACAATCGGCGCGGAAGCCGTAGCGCGCCACGAAGTAGGGCGAGATGACGCCCAGGTCGCTAGCAGTCGCTATCGGCTCGCCTAGCTTCTGGGCCAGAGTCTCGTCTCCACACGCCTGGAAATAAGTGTCGAGTTTACCAGGTTGCTATATGAGCTTAAGGCGATTAGAGTCCTCAATCCGCGTCAAATGGGCATTTTGTAAAGCCTACTCCTCTTTTACTGCTGGACAGAAATAGTTGAAAAAAATATATGTTATACAACAGTTCAAGGACTACATTTGTGACGTTTGAATTTTCGCTACGTCTCTTTGTTTTGGATTAAAAAAATAAATACGGGACATCGATTTTTTACTTAAATTCCCTACTCCTCCAAAACGGCTATGTTAATTTAAAAGATTTTTGCACGAATAGATTAGGAATTCTTTAATCTTTAAATGACACGTTGCGTTTTTCAATCGAACATTACTTTCATTCATAAATTTTACTTTTGATAAATTCCGAACGTTTTGCTGTTGAGGGGGCCTTCGCGGGGTGCGGGCGGCAGTCGGCCGCTGGCCTTCAGACGGGGAGGTTGTGTCACTCGCTGCAAACTGACATTAGCGATCAAAATGAATTTTTTCTTTGGCTGAGTTGCACCACCTGACGTGACCTAACTTTGACCGTAGCTTTGGCGATAACTCAGTTTATTCTTCATAAGTGACACAAAGAGAATGACAATAGACAAAAGAAGAAACATTTGCTTTTTTAAACCATAGACAATACTACTATGTGTTCCAATACCTACAGTTGTCGTCAGGAAGTTGGTCTAATAAATTCAGCTTGCAAGATTCCACCCGAAGTTACCTACATATTACATGTTCTAATTTCGAGAACGGCTGAACCGACAAAAATATTAGAAAATTTACGAAAAAATAAAAATATCCCGTACAAAATGTTCATGGATTGTGTTATTTTTACGCCTGAGTTAAATGACACCGACGAGTATCAAGGTTCATCAATTCAAGTTTAAAATAATAGGCAGTAATGTCATGAAAAAAGAGCTTCTATTCTGTATCTACCTATGCCCGTGTAATTTTGATCGGTGTCAAATCGGAGTTTTCGTGCGGGGTGCGCGGGTGTTTCGCGCGGCGTGAAGGTCAAACGCCCAAGGTCATTGAGGACTCTAATCGCCTTAAGTGGATGACGAAAGGTGGGCCAAAACCCCTAAATCAGTCTTTCCCAAAGTGGGCGATAACGCCCCCTTGTGGGCGCTGCAGGCTTAAAGGGGGGCGGTAAGAGACCCAGAAAAAAAATCGGGACGTTGTGTAGAGGCTTGGGAGGCCTTCATCTACTAGGAGATGTCTAAGAGTCCTCTCTTAGACATCGACTGAGCTCGACTCTTGACCACAAAAATGGGGGGCGCTAAAAATAAATTATTCTCAAAGTGGGCAGTAGACTAAATAAGTTTGGGATGTTAAATGATGGTTAACTGAGGCAAACTGGAGCATATGGGTTGAATGAGACAGTTTCAGAAAACGTAGCGACAAGATGCGCACTAGCTTGATGGACCGGCAACCCTAAGAAGATAGTTAGCAACGGATGGATGAAAAAAGCGGGAGATTAGATACTTAAGTTAGATCATAAATATATGATAAATATTGTAGAAAGTTTTAGTGCAGTTGGTGGCTCGCAAACGCATGTCTCCTGCGAGGGTTCAAAGGTCTAATGACAAGTTTAATTGCCTTTTAACTTCTGGATTCAAGTCATACAAGAATACAAAAAGCGTTAAACTACCAGTTAATGAATAACACCTACCTTCAAAGCCTTCTCATCCCACTTCAAAGAGTGTATATCGAGCAGATTCATCCCCGAGCCGTCCGACAAGTCGATGGGAGCTATGCGGCCCAGGAACAGGGAGCAGGCGAAGGAAGACACCAGCGAGATCCGCGTCGCGGCTTGATACGCCC